CGGGCGACCTCTTCTCCGCCGCGCCTGCCGGGCACTTCTTGTCCTGCTGCGGGACGCCCGGGTACAGGTCCAGGGTGCCTCCTGCGGGAACCGGGTCAACGCCCAGGCCTGGGAGCGAGAGGAAGACGGGGTCAGACCAGGGACGGACGTCTGGCCCACAGGGGGTTGCCCGGGCCCTCCCGACCCGACCCGAGCCTCTTCGCCGCTTTCAGACTTAGTGCCGGCCCTGCCGTCGGGCTGAGGGGCGCTGCGCCTGGGATATCGTGGCAGGGGAGCCAGTTGGCCCCTTTCATGTGGATGGTGGCCTTGGTGCTTCTGTGGCCAAGGACCGGGGCAAGCGTGGCGGGGTTTTCTAACGCAGGGGGCAAAACCATTGGAGCGTGAGACCCATTAGCGAAGGGGAGGAGAGGAGAAGGAAGCTTTGGGGGAGAAAGCTTTTGGAACAGTCGGTTGTGCATCGAAGGTGTGCTTGTGGTGTGATGCAGCTGCAAAAAAGTCAAATGCAGTTGCGGGCTGCCTCAGCAGAAACATATTATTCAAATCACAGGAAGTAACCATCCTGCTTTATTCTGCTTTAGCATTGGGTCTAGCAGTCTTTAAGGAGACTTTGCACTCGGCAGCCCATCTTCCCCTTTTGAAAGAACGGACGTGGTCCGGGGATTATGGGATTGCCGCTGCGGCCAAGCCGAAGGCCCCTTGCTCCTATCTGTCTTCAGACTGGGGCACATAGCCCACTTATTTTTAAATATTTCAAAGCTCTGTGAGCTAGAAATATAAGGAGCCAAAGGTGGGTCACATCTGGGAAAAACTGGACACGGGATAGCTATGCACAAAAGCACGTCAGCTCTCCCTGTTTAGAAACATCCTTAGCTGGCCTTGGCTGAGCTTGAAACATCTCCTGGACGGGAGGCCACAAGGAAAGCCCAGGAGCGAAAGCAATACCCAAGCAATATCCAAAACAGAAAAACTTGCAGGAGCAGAATGTGGCAAATTCCTTCTGTGCTGCGGCCGAGAAAATGATACCGATGTCTCTGTGACTCTATCTTGATTCAGAGAGTCTTTTTCCCTTCCCCTCTTTATTTTAATGATTAGGAATAGAAGGCTGCTAATAAATAGCGCAGCGTAGTTTTTTATTGATTGATTGATTACATTTTTATTTTATTTATTTATTTATTTGTATGTCACATTTATGTAGCCGCCCATCTCACACAAAGCGACTCTGCACAGCAATCCAACAACTCTTGGCATTGTTTAAACCAGTGTTTTTCAAACTTGGCAACTTTAAGAGGTGTGGACTTCAA